AGGGTCTGCAAGCTGTGAAGTCTGCAAGAGAACATGGCCAAACTTTTGCACATGCTACAAGTACTGTTTCAATTGTTTTATTCATGAAATTGAACGTGTATTAACATTTGAAGACATTTTTTTGCTGTGGTAGTTACATGTACTTCTTTTCACTTTGCCCAACCTTTTGCATTCAGTTGTAGCCTATATTTGATACTCTGAACTGATTTTGAATGTGTCTCATGTAATGGTTTATTTTTATATTGTGGTGTTGCTGACTGACTTAATGACCTGAATTGGGCTCCTTGCCTTAACAGTAGCTACAGTACTAGATAAACAAATGTATACAACTGTCAGCTCTTGAAACCGTGTTCACCGCTCCCTAGCACTTTACCCTTTTACTTTGAAGGTCACATCGCCTGACTTCCTGTATCATACTGGCTGCCTGCTGCTGCTGGTTGACTGGCTGCAAATCATCACCGAGGACACGTCACGGCGCTGAATGATCGCCGTGCTCCCCGTCTCCCCACCGCGGCTGCAATTAGACACATCTCACCTACCGGGAGCCCAGGGTGAGGACCGCAAACAAACACACAGCGACTAATGCGGCGGGCTTCAGCTACAGCTCAGCTACAGGTTTGTATCAGGACATAAACAAAGAGGTTAGGAATGAGAGGCCAGTCGGTCAGTGTGGTGACTGAAACGGGATGCTGTGTGTCAGTGCTGGCCGCTGGAGTTACTGACACTGTGGTGACACAGCACCAGTGTGGGGCCATGTCACATTAGAGGTGCTGAGGGGAGGAATGCCACAGCTGAAAATATCAGGACCCCACTGGTACATGGTAGCCTGGAAGTATCAGCTTCACTCTTGCACAAACGTGTATTATGTAACACGTGTTTATCTGCTCTGCATCTTTCCGAACAAGTTGCCCGAGGAATTTCCAGTCCCAGCATAACCCGATTGCTTTGTAACCTCGCTGTAAATAGTCCTGTGTGGCCACGACATGGTGAAAACATGGGGATTCAAAAGTGTTTATTTACTGCCATCTACTGTCCACAATATGTCAGTGCATGCCCGGAAACAAAGGGAAGAGTAAAAATAGGAGGAAGTAATTGAAACTAATGACAAAATGGGCCAGGACAAAAGCAGACTCGGAAACCATTTTATTTTGTAAATGGGTTAGCACTCAGACTGTACACAACAGATATGTTCTGAGTTTGACCCAATAAAGCCAGAAGGAGCTCCCAGAGAGGAGGGAGCAGGGTGGTCTGCTGACAGTGGTGCAGTGCCAGGTGACTAAAGCTCTTTCTGTTGTTTTTATACACCTCAGCTCTTCAAATCTTCAATTCTCTGACATTACATTTTTTATCTAAAGCTTTTAAAAAAAGTTGGATCTTCTGTTGCAGGTGGACCACACTGCTTCCTGCCAGTGGTATTATGAAGTGGTTAAACAGTAACTGTTGGTGAGTGATTTTTGTACAAAAGGACAAAAACTCAAAAAAGAAATCCAAAGAGTACATTACAGAACACTACATTAACAAGTGGGGAGGGAAATAAAAACTGTGTACTTATGCCAGAACAAGCCCGCAAGATAACACTAATTAAATCAATATCAGAACGGGTAGCCCCCCAAAACACACAGGCAGCCAAGGCTCAAAACACCTGCCTTCACTACAGCTGGCAATATATAGTGCTGTGACCAGCAACAAACAGTTTTATACACTACATGTGTTATACTGACCACATTAGTCCATGTATTGTACTTTTCTTCTAATAATACAATATATTAAATCAAAAGAGGCGAGATCTCTCACGACAAAGCTATGCAGATATAAAAACTGATGACACGACAATCTACCGACACACAGGCACAGTGCACAAGCTTGCAGGCAGGAAATGGAAAAAAAAATCTTTGTAATTTTTAAATAGTACAAAAAAAAAATTTAAATGTATTTTTTGCTTCAAGAGCACAACTCAAAGTATGAAGCCAGACTCATCTGCTTTAATGTGAGGAAGAAACAATTATCATAGTTGTTGCCCCCCAAACAAAGATTGTGGAGTATATTTATGTCAGGATCAGAAGACGTTCGCTTGATGCACGCTTCCTCTTGGTTGGGAACCCGCAGGTCTGCTGGCGTTTTTTTATTTATTTATTTTTTTCCATCTTCTTGTGACTGTTTCTGTTCAGTGAGTTGTCCTTACTAATGAATATGAACCAACACGGTGGAAAGGCAGTGACAGACTGAACACATCTGAAATGGGCCTAATGCACGCTGTTGATGTGTGGTGGGAGTCTCCCAGTCTCCTTCTCTTTGCAGCAGTCTGTGGGTTGTTTTTTATTCCAGACACTGAACTGGGGCCTATGTGTAATCAATGCCAGAGTATCTGCGAGAGGTTAAACATCCCTGTAACAAAGTGGAACAAAACTGCCTGGAGACAAAACTTTACAACCACTTGCAGGTCAAACATGCAGAACAAGCTATTCAATGAGACTAGCCCAAAAATTAGGAGTAAAAAAAAAACAAAACAGGGAAAAGAGTTTTGAACAGCAGAACATGAAAATATGAAAAATAATTTCTATATGTATATTTAGATTTTTTTTAAACATTTCTCAATGATCCAATACTTGCGTGCAACTGCAATTCAAACGATAACAACAGAGTCAAATTTCATATGTACCAAGCAACTACTATAATAAGATTATTTAACCAGTTAATTAAGAACAAAGTAAGAATAAAAAAATAAAATTAATCTCTTATGACCTAAATAAACTTCTTGATAAACTCCTTGGGTGCAGTGAACATTATGAATGAAAGCACAGTCAAAGTGCGCTCGAACCAATCGACACCCGTGTGGTGTTTTGAACATGTAGTTAAGGAGTTAAGGGCACTGGAAATCAAAACTCCCGCAGTGTTTCTCACTCACTGCTGCTGCAAAATGTTTTGGATTGGGCTGAGGCTTCGCCATAGCCCATCATGCTTTGCTCTCTGTGATTTTTGTCTGTATGACACTGTTGTGGTCTGCAGCCATCTCCAACAGGGCGTCTGATAACTCTGCTTCCTCTAGTTTGACCTTCTCATCAGAAAAAATGTTCCTGCAGAGAAAAAGGATAGAGTTCAAATTATAAATCTGGTCATCTCTGGCAAAAAAAAAAAAATTAAACCTTCTCAACAAACACTTGAGTTGAACACAGTTTTAACCATTTATTCACAATGACCTCTTTACCCAATATGTAAGAAGACCCTGTATGTATGTCAAGGTCTTCTTACATATTTCTTCACCACCTTGACAATAACTGGTCCTGTAGCATTTCTAAACTAAAACAAGCAGTGTTTAGCAAATGCTATCTATTAATCAGTGTAATTCTACTGCACAGGGACTGGGACGGAGCCGTAATGAGCCCTAGGCCTGTGCTATGTGATGCCCATGTTCATATTTAGGCAGTGAAGCACAGTTTCTAGATCCGGCCTGGAGCTCTTCTCCTCTCTGCTGCAGTGCAGAGCAAGGAATCATAAACATCTCTACAGAGTTGGTGAGGCATGTAGTTACTGCCTGAAGTCAAACATGTTGTCAATTATATAAAGCCCATTTCAGACATGGAATATTGCTGGCGTTGTGTATCTGTTAAAGTGATGGCTTTCTGTCATTCTGACATGCATAGTGTGTTCATTATGATGTCATGACACAGAGCCACACTGCCTGTGCAATATTTTGGCATCTGTGCACAAGAGGGAATAGTGGCACCGCTGAGTTGGAAAGCGACTCATTTGAAAACTTATTTTCCTGTTGAAGCCTTCGTTAATGACCAGGCGCACTAGGGCCACTCGCCCCCTCTTCACACAATCTGCTTCTAAATTTTCTTGGTTCATTTTTATTAGAAAACTGTTTTTCAGATTAGAATGAGCGCTAGCGCCTCACAGCATGAAGGTTCCGGGTTGGAGCACAGGCCGACCCGGTGACTTTCGGTGTGGAGTTTGCATGTTCTCCCTGTGTGGATTCTCTCTGGGTACTCCGGCTTCCTCCCACAGACCAAAGACATGCAGCTTAGGTTGACTGGAGACTAAATTGCCCGTAGGAGTGAGTGTGAGTGGTTGTGGTTCTGTCTCTGTCAGCTCTGTGATAGACTGGTGACCTGTTCACGGTGGACCCCGCCTCTCACCCAGTGGCTCCAGCCCCCCGCAACCTTCTTCAGGATAAGCAGTATAGATAATAGATGGATATTAGACTGTCCAACAAGTCTAGAATGACAAAATGTCGGTTGGGACATTAGTCTAACATCTGTTTGCTCACATACTGCAAGTGTCTTTCTGGATATTTGTAATTTTATCCATCTACTTGAGACCTGGGACCACGTATGGCTGCCTTGGTAGTACACTCTCTCTGTTTGTTGTTGTTTCTTCTGCAACCCATCCCAGATTACCTTCACTGGAGAATAACTACTAAACATCAGACAACTCACTCTAAAACCCCCTTTTTCTGATTTTGCAAAAAGCTGTGTGGACATTCCGGTCAGAGGGGCGGCAGCCCTCTATGGGATCTGGAGAAATTGCTGGCAAGGAAAGAGAGCTGGGGACCTGGTTAAGTTACAAAAGAGAGGGACCCGGACACCACTCCCGTCTATCCACCTAGCGAATCTTCGCTCTCTAGCCAACAAAATTTCTTGATTAATCTATGAATTGCTTGGGCTATACAATGTCCAAAAATACAAAAAAAATCAAAAGGTTTGCTCATAGCCAAGGTGATATCAACTGTCTTTACCTAAACAGAACAAACCCTACATTGTTTACTTTAGAGTAAAATAAAGAAAAACAGCAAATGCTTGGAATTGAGAAACTAAAACTAAAGGATGTCTAACTTTTTTGCTGAATGACTAAATTGATTAAACAATTGTCTGCGTACTTATTTGTTGTCAGCTGACTAACTTTCATAAAGCAATCTGAGAATCTCTTCAACAACTTAACTCAGCTTGACTCAGTGTTTTGCAGTTTATTTACCAGATTATTAAAGAGATGAGCACTTGTGCTGTGGCGTCTTTACATGAAATCTTGTGTGAGCCAAACAAGTAAGATTGTTGTCTTTTATGTAAAAGTGATTCAGATGCTTTTTAAGACATGAGACTAACGTGTAAAATTGCCATCACATTTCTGTATCAAGTTGCGTGTCTGAAAGGGGCTCAAGTAATTTTGTGGGGGATGTTGCAAACGTGGAAACCCACAATGAGGAACTACCACACGCAAGCATAAAAAAACACCATACTACTCCTCTGTCCACATCAGCTCCCTAATAATTATCAGTGTCATTACCACAGTTTACCATTACAATATTTCATATTGTGTGGTCAATGGCAAGATGCGGTGGTGAATGAATGGGCATACAAATTACTCACGCACACAAACACACAAAGATAAACCTCTAGAGGGAGCCGTACTCATCGTTGACAGGAGGAGCAGTCTTGGCCAGAGTCTCAGATGCCTCCAGAACTGGGCCTGAGGGGGGGAGGTCTGCTCCATTTCCATTGGCCAGAGAGGGGGCAGAGGACGGGCTGTCTAAGCTAATGAGGTCTGCAGGGGGCTGGGAAGGTCTCTCTGTCCCATTTGTCAGCTCTAAATCTAAGTCTTCATTTCTGGGGCCCATGTCAGGGGTTACTAAGTCATACACATCTGATAGAGAGAGGAGATCATTCGAGACCGGCACTTCAAGACTTGGGGGGGCAGGAGTAGTAAAGACAGGAGAAACAGGCAGAGGAGAGGGGACATCTGCAACTAGAGGAGCAGATTCTTCAGCATCCAGGACTTTAAGAGCACTGTGGATTGCTGAAGGAGAGCCAGCTGCAGCATCATTGGCAGTAGATGTGTTATCAGCAGTTTGAAGAGCAGGGCTGTTGGTGTCAGAGGCCATGAGGCTACACCTGCTGGCATCTGGGGAATGTGTTTCTGGATCTGAGTCTGGGTTTGGAGCGGCAGTGGTTGTCAGCGTAGAGGCAGTTTGTGCTGGTGTCTCAGTATCTAAGGCTACAGTGTCTGTCTGTGTGGGAGCCTTGGTGACCGGCGGGCTTGGAACAGGTTTCTTGGTGTCTACGGTGGAAGGGGACGAAGAGGAAGACACAGCCAGTGGAGATCGAGGGGGGCTACCTTTAGCATGCAGAGCGGCAAGCTTAGGAGAGTGTCTACGTATCGGTGGTATTGGTTTGCCAGATTTTTGAGCTTCAGTTCGTTCGGGGGTACAAGGGGAATTTTTCTCCTGTTCTTCTGAGGTGTTACTTCCACTTTGTTCTACTAATGGGGCCATTTTAGCTTCAACGGCAGCTGTTGAGAGGAGAGGAGTTGGTGGGGCTGTGTTCGACTCTGGAGTAGGGGCCGGGGCCAGGACAGGGGTGGGTGAGGGGTCGTTGGCCGGAGTAGACAGGCTACAAGTGAGGGTAGTGGTCTCGCTAGAGGGGCTGTCCTGCGCGGGGTCAAGTGTTGCAGTGGCTGTGTCAGAGTTGGTAGCTACGGAGGAGAGGGTGTCCAGTGCCAGAGCAGCAGTGTTAGCCGCCAGCCTGAGAGAGCAGGGAGAGAACAGAGACACACAGACTAGACACCAGGGTGACTGTGACAGAGGAAGGGTGGCCTGGACGAGAGCATGCAAAGGAATTAGTTGGCTTTAGAAATTCACACGAATATAGAGCAACTAAAAACAGCGACTATTAAGCCTAGTGGAAAAAACAGAAGCAAAGAAAAAGAGCGTCATGCTGCAAGTGGACATTAAGGATACATCCCATACACACACCAACATGGAGTGCACTGACTAGGAAAACTAATGTACTAAAAAAGCAGCAGTCTTCCTGCAGAAAACTACAGCACCACGCAGAACCACCTATAAGGGTTAAACAGTACCAGTGACAATCTCATACTGTGTAATCTTGTTTTTCCAGACTGCTGATATGAGCGATGGCTTGGCTGAGGTTGTCAAATGGCTTCAGATGAGTTGACCACACTTGAGGACAAAAGCCTTTCTGTGTCTTTAACTGGTATTGCTTCAACCTTGATATAATGAGACAGAAAATCTCCAAAGGCTGGAGAAGATACACAAAGTGCAGTAATCCCTCTGACAGGGAATGAAAACGGAAAAGCAACACAGTTCAGTGGACTCCACTTAAGAATGGCCTCAACTCTTCAACCAATTTCATGGGTCAAATTTAGTCCTGTTGAATAACAATGATTCTTTGAAGTGGAGTGCAATGGACAACAGCTAAAAAGATCTGGACGGGAAAAAGGCAGCGTGCTGTCCATCAGCCTTTACTCACTCTGGCTCTGTGAGAGGTGTCGTTTCATTGGGTTCTGTCGGTCCTGCCGCATTATGATTGGCTGTGCATTCGTCCTCTGTTCTCACTTCCACTATTGGCTCCTTGGACTCATCTTTTCTGTAGGACAGAGAGACATACACCTTTTAACATTATCTCACAGAACAGTTCTCGCTTCTGCCACAGTGAGGAGTAAGAAAAAGTGATGGAGCAGAGTGTGTCTACAGACCGGAATCGGCTCAGTTACAGTGTGAATATTCAAGGCTGCTAAGTCATGTGAGGACATTCGTGTGGCTGTACTTTAGTGAAGCACTGCTACGTCTCACCCACATTCAATACTGCCTTATTGTAGACATGAGAATATTAGTTCAGTGCGTTGGTTAAAACCAGCAGCCTTCACATTTTCACTGAAGGAGAAATCAACTTTAAAAATGCCATCTCATTTAGGAGCCCATATTTTTGATTTGTATATTTTCCTGTTCCTCTAGTTGTCGACTACACAGACCGTAATGCACTACAGCCACAAGATGTCCATTTAAGTCAGGAGGCACAACAGTTCCCCAGTTATCTCTGCCTTTATCAACCTAAACATAAAGCCTTCAGCTAAAATTCTTAATCCTCTTCAATGTCAGTTCTTGAAAGGCTTTCTGGGAAATGTAGAAAGTCAGGAGGAATACATGTATCAGTACAGATTTATTCCTCATAATGGAGATTTTAATCTGAGGTTCAGGGGCGGGACCTCTTCCTTTCCTCATCACATTTAAGCCACCTGTTCAAAACAGGCTTCCGCTTCCACTTTTTCATAAGGCAGATAACCCACCGCCACTTTCGACACAACACCGGCAACAAGAGTTGTTCGCATTCACGAACTATCCTCTCAATTTCAGGAATAGGCTCTCTGGTATTATCATTCTGAAATAATTACAGACTATTTGGAGTTATGAGGGGCGCCAAGTTAATCTAGAGGTGCCCAAGCTTAAACATTAAATGGCTGGAAATGAGCAAACTGAGCCATGGGGACTTTAAAGAACTGCTTTGGTCACCACCAACCTCTGATGTGGCTCTTTATAGGACTGATTCACGCTTTCTCAAGTCTTTACAAACCATAGTCAAATAAACATATGAACAATCATCCAGATTTGTCTTACTATAATCATTGCTAATGTTCATCGTTCATTACGAGATCCCCTCCCAAAGAGGGTTTAGTGTACAGTATACAGTAATGATGCTGGACACAATCTACAGTGCTGAGAGAAAGCCACTTAATTAGTTTAACTCAAGATAGCTGAAGCCTCATCATAGCTTCAAATAAACTTTGGAATATATAGCACAGAAAGGGAATTGTGAACTTGTTTTGCTAATACACACTTAACAGACCCATCCTTTAGCTGCTAAATGCTCGTGTGTTGACCAGCTAGTTGCTAACTTTGTCTATCTGCCCTGCAGTCCTGGGCCTTTAGGCTACAGAGTGTTTATCAACCGCTGTCTACTGCAACTGGAAACGATGCTGATGACAGCAGTATAAAAACAAAACCGTCACCAGGGGAAGCTCTGTAAAGCTGAGGGTAACTGCAGCATCTTTCACATTACACATGGCTATGTGATCTACTGTTAAGTAAAAATGCTGATTCGAGCAACTTAGAAAACATTTATGTGGTTAGTCTGTGTAAATAAAATCGCTTTCTGGGCCTTAATTTTAATCTAGCCTGTCAATGTTGAACTGCTTATAACTTTTGTCTCTGACTCACATGAACGCTGCTTTGCCTTCTTCCAAGTTGTGTCCTTTGGTCCCTGTGCCCGTTTTGCCACAGAGGCACATGATGAGGCCACATTTGTTGACAAAGTAACAGGTGACATCCACAGCCAGCAGCAGCAGTACAAATACTACAACAAGGATTCCTGCCCAGAGCATGATGCCCATGGAGAGCGCTGCCTCCTCATCCAAACCTGCCAAAGAGGAGAGAAGAGAGAGAGGGCACTGAACAGCTGCAGTGTGACACAGTTTTATAGAAACTGCCATGAACAGCTAAGTAAAGTGCTGCTAAGCTACTGTAACCACAAATAGTTCCATAAAGCAGGAACGACTCACCTGCTTTGAGCACTGAGACGTTGTCTCAGCATGAGTTGTGTGATGTGTTTGTGCAGACGAGCCGTCTGGCTTGTGTTCACTTATTTATATAGCTCCACTAAATATGTGATATGTTGAGGAATGTAGAGTATGTAAATGGATGTTCATAAAAAAATAGAAATTCAACCCATTTATTTGGTATTAGAAAGACGAGCAAAGCATTACACTGTGTTGCAGTGACCCAGACATGCAGGAGATCTTGTGGACAAAATGAACATGAGGCTTTTTCTACAAAAAGCTGTGATACATCTTCACTGTTTGTTTACAGTCCATTTTAATTACAGCAGAAGACTGCAGACCAAATCTCTAAAATATCATCTGTTTATAGAGAAATGTAACTCTTTAGATACCATATGAACAGGTAAACAAAGCCGGATAGATAAGAAAATGCGGCTTTGCAAAGCACCCTCCAAAAGTAAATGTATAAAACAAATGAATTTTGATACACGCATTATATGCATGCACAATATCATGGACATTTATCTTAGTAATCAGCACAAAAATAAGTTTATGATAATTCTCTATACAATATGTCAATCTGTGGCAATATTACAAACTTTTTTCAGTTAGATGCCTTTTTCAGTAAACATTAACGTTATAAATCTTTACAGTACGTATGCATAATTTTGTGAGTAATTTAACAATGTATTGCAGTGTTTATATAAACAGACAGGTCCAGCACTCAGCCTTCATTCTGCTCTAAGTTAACCTCATTTCAAATCCATTATTGTTCAATACTTTAAACTGGAACTCCTCTCTGTTGTCTAGTACCCATGACTGGCTGCATTAATGCTGAGCAGGGTGAATCTGTGGGAGGCGTAAGATTTCCGCTGCCTTTGGTTCAACGTGTTGTTCTAGGCTGTTCTGAAGCTACACAGCATCCTTTTCTCACCCATAACATTGACACGTCTGTCATGGACAGTCTTTTTTTTAAGCAGTGAAAGTGTCCAGAGACAGCCAGGCCAGAGAAGAGGTGAGCTCTCCTCTACAGTTAGGATGTGAATTCCCCATGAAAACTATGAGAGCAAAAGTACAGTGATGAGGGACAAGATGAGTGATACCAAAGTGCATGTCACAGATGAACAGCCCTGAATGGCTGACAGGGGCGAGGGGAGGGGGGCATCACAACCCCAACCACACCAAAATACACACAGGTCGGGACGAAAATGTTCACGTGGTCCACCACAGCAATGTCCAGGACCAGGCAAGTGAGCAGGAACATTGAGAGGGGATAGAGAGAAAAAGGGAAAGAATAAAGGACAAGGAGGGGGAAATGAAGGGAAACAAAGAGGAAAAAAAGAGAAGGGTGGGGAAAACAGAGGAAAAGAGAAAGTGAAAATGTGTCAGGTCTGAAAACCAAAAGTGAAAAAAAGAAAAAAAAAATCAGATTTTTTTTTGTATTGAGGGAGGAAAAATATAATACATCCAAAGCAAAAGCACAGCACAAAGGGGAAAACTATATCATGTCGACTAGATGGTGACTCTGTGGTGGGTGAGTGGGAAATGCTTCAGATTAGGAAATGAATTAGAAAAGTGAGAGAGAAACATAATGGACTGTTGCACTGTCTGAGCAAAGCACTGCCTAGCACCTAAATGGAATCTGACAGGCTGTGTGGTAAAAACCGCCAGCTGCAGTTATGGCCTCAAGGTAGGAGTTAATCAGGGGTTATCAGGGGTCAATTTAAAGGCTGCTTCCACCCAGGGAAAAAATATCCACTCTAGGTGCTATTTGAACAGTAAACAAAGCTAAAGAAAAACCATAATCATTCAGAGGAAATCATTTCATCCTCTGTGGAAAGTGCCTGTCCCAGTTCTGTGAGCACAAACTCAAGCTCATTTAACAAGGCCTGTCAAAAGTTTAAAGTGAGAAAATTCAGCCGGAAAATCATTTCTGGCTCACCACAGTCAAGGAAATCTAATTTTTCCTGTAGATTTATTTTGTTGTCACTCACCTTTCAGAGCTAGAGAGTTAAAAATAGTACATGGCGGTCTGGTTGTGAGTTTTGAGTTTGGCTCCTCAGTTTTCTGGCTGTTTGGTTCCAGTTTAGCTAAGTGACCTGAGAGAGGATACCTGGGATGGCTTCTGGCTCTGTGGACGTCCTGAAGGATATGGTCGCCGGCTGGGACTTGCCCTTTTGATTCTCCGCCACTACATGGACATTGTACTCTGTGTCCCACTCCAACCTGCTGAGAACCACGTGCTCGCTGCCGCTGGGCAGTCGGATTTCAGGCTTCCACTCTGACGCTTGTATCTATGGACACACAGACATACATACAGAACATTCGTTTAGGTCTGCAACCAACGATTACTTTCAGAATCAATTAAAAACCTGTCAATATTTATATTGAAGAGGCTAAACCTGAGAATTTTTGGCATTTTGCTTTAAAAATGATTTAAATGATCAATTGTTTATCAAAGTCCTTACCAAAGACCTTACCTTACAGACCAATCAAAGACTGCAACAAACAGTTATTGTTTAATCTACCAGTTATTTTCTTGATCAATCATTTGGTCAATAGACTAATTGATTAATTGACAAATCATTGCAGCTCTGGACTAATTTGACCATTTATTAAACTCTAATCGCCATACTCACTGGTTTATAGCGGACAAGATAATGTAAGATGGGCGAGCCGCCGTCGTCCTGCTTGATCCAGCTGATTTTGACCGAGTCGCCTTTAGGCTGAAGTGCTCCTTCAAGTTTAGGAGGATTGGGATTCCCTAGAGGAACACGTACAATACACAAGTTAATTAAAAGCTCATTTCAAAGACAGAGATTTAGCTGTGTTACTTTCTTGGAAGTCGCAGTTACAATTTTGTCAGTCCACCTTTAAAATTGCAGAGTGAAAAAAAAAATTAAGTTCAGAGGGTGAAACCAGATGCTTTCTTTGTTGTTGTTCTTTTAGGTCACTTGTCCTCCCTTAAAATTAATCGTTCACCTCAAGATGGTGTGTCTGAAGTCAGACTAATTACCAAATGGCACAGACTCATGCTTATCTGATTCAGTCTGAGTCGCTGAGTGACACAGCTGGCTTAAAAATTACTGACTGACATTCCCGTGTGTCATACAAGGCCTCAGGGTAAACGGTTATTACTCATTGACTGAAATTTACTTAGGACTGGCATTTCACTGCACCACGTATATAGTAGGTTTGCCTGTAAAAATGACCACAGGGTACAACCTACTAGCAATGGACTAGGTAATGTTTTGTCTTTCTTAAAGACTGATTTCATAAGACTAATTTCCAAACATATGACAAACAACAAACAGAAAAGTATAAGATGGAAAGTGTAAGACTACAGATTAGCAGTGACGTGCGGTCAGGGGAGGCAGGTGAGGCAGAGCCTCCCCTGTCAATCTTGAAAAGTAAAAAAAAGTTAACCATAAAATATAATAAATGTTAATATTTGTCGGCTGGTGTGTGTTGTAGGTCCTTTTGCCATTCAAATCCGATGTTGAAGGAATTTATTTCAATAAAGAATAGCAGAATTCCCGTATGTCCCGTTCAAATACATGGAGGAGATGCG